GAGGCTGAGGCTGAGGCTGAGGCTGAGGCTGAGGCTGAGGCTGGCGGCGCATCACTACAGACCCAAATGGCTAGGGTTGGCGGCGGCTACACGGCCAAATTGGCTCCAGCAGCCCGTGGCGTGACGTCGTGCCGCCATCATTGCAAAAGACAACAGCGTGCTAGTCTCGAGCGAGAGAGAGTGTTGATTGGCGGCTGCGCAGGCTTGTCAGTATTCGGGGAGCTGATTAGGCAATGTGCCTACAGGTGTGGATGTATAGGCTGCCATGCCGCTGCTGCTCGACGAGACTTGGCCCAGGAAACAAGAAGAAGAGGAGGAGGAGGAGAAGCACAGCAGAGAAAAATTCAAACACCGCAAGCACAAGCTGCGTGGCCGACGTGGTTCAAATACCAGGCAGCCACAGTTGACGTCATCTACTGCAGCTGGCGGGTTGTGGCAATGGCACGCCACACCACCATCACTTATCACCGTTCATCACCACCAGCATACACCAGCGTCGTGGCAGCCCGGCGGGTGGCTGTAGACATGGCTTTTTTTTCTGCAGCCGCTTGCTCTCTAGCTCCGGGTCGTCCCAGTGCCCAGGCTGTGGCTGTAAGCAGGTAAGCACGCCAGCATCCATCTGGTAAGAAAACCCGCCTGTTCATGCTCACGTCGGCGCCATGTAGCCGCTGCAGCGTATGGTAGTGGCAGTAGGGCACTCTAGGCGAGTCACGTGCCTGCTGTTCCTGCTTCGCATCTCCCCACCTGCCCGGCTTACCTGCCAATAACCCTTCCGACCATGTCCCTCCAACACTTCCGCTGGCAGCTTCTGCTGATGCCTCGTTTGCCCTAGCATTCTTTCCGTCACGCCGATAGGACACAGTGCTCAAGGAGAAAGAGAAGGGGAAAAAGCAAGCAAGAGTGAAACATACGGCGTCATGGTATTTTCGAAACCCCATAAGAAACATCTCAATTCTTCCATGTGCAGTATCGTGTCACATGGCATTTGTACACCCCACTCCTAAAACTCCCCTTTAATGCCCATTCTGAACAAAACAAATTCTGTGCGCCACACCTCAACATATGTATGCAGGCCATGCAAGAGCATTCTAGACCCGCTGGTATCCAACTCCGGAACAAACCCCCTCGTCACATGGAAACAAAAAATCAAAAATCCTTAGCCTGCACCTGCTGCGACGGGCGGCAAGCAGACATCATCTCAACGTCCGAGTCGTCATAAATGCTCTTGCCCCGAACCGACTTGCTCTGGTCGCCCCCCTTCGCAAGAGCAGGGAAGCAGTATCCAGGATGGAAGACGGTCAGAACCACCACTGCAGTGACAATCATGGCTCCTTCCAACACGATAAAATCCACCTCCTCGCGCATCAGCTCGCTCCTCCACCCAAAAGCAAGCTCGGGGATACGGTAGACGCATCGAGCAAAAATGGTAATAAAGGCCAGTGCAATGGCAAAGAGGAAGAGGCGGAATGACTTCTGTTGTAGCAGAGTCCTAGCTTCGTCCGACAGCTCCTCGCGGTGCTTGTACGTGCGGATGGCGTATTCAACGAGCAAGAAGCCAAAGACGGTCAGTGTGAAGACCTGCCAGACCACACCTGCAATCATGATGTTTGTGCCATTATCCTGTGCTTCGCTGCCAAAGTCAGCAGTCGCAGCGATGCCACCGCCCGCGCCCTGCAGCACCAGCGACAGGAAATCTCCCGCGATAAAAATGTGTGTATACCGCGCCGGTCGGAGGCGCGACCACGACTCGCCAAAGCTAATGACGAGATACTTGAGTGTTAGGTAGATGGCGGCGGAGATGAAGGCGGGCGAGATGATGAGGCAGCAGATTTGCATCTGGAACCCCGTGTTGTCGAAGGGGTTATTCCACATTATGATTCGGCCTGCGTAACCCACTGCCTCGCCTACACAACCCAGACCCATGGCAGTCTACAGTTTGATACTGTTAGTCATGTTCGTATGTGTTAATGAATGAGGGCAAGCACTTACCATATAGGACCATGTCTTGTATCGGAGTCCCAATCCAAGGTTGATAAGAGCGGCAAGGGCAAAGAACCCCGCATATGCTGCATTGGCACCAATGTCCGGGTAGTATCCTAGAATGGTGCCCTCCACTGGGCAATCTGGGCTAACCTGTGTGCATGTATCGGGTGCTGGGGGCGGAACGACCATGATGAAAGTTGATATGTTCGGTTTGGAAGAGAAGTTGTTTGTATTGTTCGGAAAGAGGCAAGACCGCTTGATTATGGGCTGATGGTTTGGTTGTAGTGTGGATGACTACTTGAAGAGCGGAACACCTGGATCCCTTATATCCTACACTATTGTTTCTCCACGGTCAAATACATGGATGAACACTTCAGCAAAGTCAAGCCTTCGGCCCAACTTTCCCCCTTCTCAGAGGCAGTGCAGGAATGCAAATCCGCTCGCGCGGACAAGGACATCAATCTCCGAGCACCAACACATGCAAATAGTAGCCTGATGTTTCGAACATCTCGCAACTCCGACCGAAAGGGGCTTGGCGGGTTCTTCGGCCGCCAAGGAAGCCGATCTCACGGCGTATTTCAGATAAGCATCAGATGTACACGTAGTAGATTGTGGGCGAAGCACTTTCTAGCATGACAAGCAATGTGCCGGGCAGGCTTTGAAGGGCGATCTTTTATAGTTTGTAGCGTAGGTGTAAGTGTAGTGGGTAAAGCAAAGGCGGGGACCCTGTAATTACATACACCATGTACTATCCCCAAACTTCGATAGTCAGAGTAGTGAACAAGCAAAACCGCGGAGGACAAGCAATAGACGCACCGCATAGTTGTTGATTAAAACATACTACGTAGATAACTCGCAATCGCACGTCACCAAAAATACCCAACTGTCCATCATTATTGAGACACGTCGTAACTTCCCGACGCGTCGCGTGTAGACTGTTGCTCGTAATTTAGAGACCCCACAGTCAATTCTTATAGCTTCTGCACTGTCACCTGATAGCACATCACACTATAGATTTACTTATTGTCGCTACTACTTACACCAGGTACTACACTTCCCATACGTCTACCACACGCCTGCGTCATACCACGAGGCCACAACTGTTGGGACTGAGTCACTCTATCCAGCCAGGGCTCCCTCGCGCTCCCGTTAATATTCATTGACGTGGAGAGAGCTGTGTTCAATGTGTTGAGGCGCAGACCGCCATAGTAATTGTGTTGCGCAAGCTCGGTGCTTCGGCCTTCTCCCTCCTCCGCCCCACTCCGCTGCATCCGAGAGTCCGTATCAACAATCATTTACCCAACAATCTCCCCAGCCTCAAGCTTACTCGGAAATCATGGGCTTGTGTCCTGAATTCTTTGTCCAATTTCCTCAATTACAATGCGAACAACCGACCACATTGTTTATTTTTGCTCCATAGAGTTCACAGCGTAGGAACAGGTTCATCTGTCGTCTGACCGTTGGTTGAGGAGATCAGCGTGGTAGTACCGAACGAAGCCCCAGCACCAGCACCGTTCAATTGCCGTTGCTACGCTAAGCGCCGTGGCCTTTGTTGATCGACCGGCCCGCACGTCGCTCTCCAATGACGCTGTGTTTTCTCTGCTGACTACCACACCGCGGATCGGTCGGACCTCTCAAGTCCGCTCGAGCTACAAAACAGAAACTCCGCGGCGGAAATCGAGATACAATACTCGGTCACGCGCTCCCTCAGTGATATCGGCATGATAGTTGCACGTACAGGACTGCCGGGAAATACTTGCCAACAGCTCCGTCCGACCAGCCACGTCTGATGCACGGATCATTTGTGAACCCTCACCAACGGATTCTGGATGCACACACTTGCAAGGAATGGCCTGCCATCTGTGTCACCGAGCTTGAGAATAAGCAATATAAGGCACAGCCAAGTACGCATCAGAAACGTCGCCACGTGCAGCTCTCGCGTAGCACCTACCGACATGCATCAGGTCGTCCGTCTTTGCACGCCTGCTAACTTCATTCAACTGGCTCACGAGAAAAGGTACAGTGCTTTGGTCTTCATAGGCGGTCTGTAAGAGACAAGCATGACGACACCGGCTCTCCCATCCATGTCCGAAGTCTACGAGTAATAGTAAGCGAGTCGGTACCGAGATCTACGTTACGCTCGACCCTTCTGTACGAGCCGCACTAACCTGTTCCTAGCCTAGGCGCGCTAACACAACATTCTCCTGATGCATCCTGCGACTACGCTTTTTGTTTTGCAGACATGGTGCACGACCGTGTCGCATTGGAAAGGGGGCTATCTGCAATAGACGGCCTAGATAGCCAGCTACAATCCTCAAGTCTAGCTGTATCACACCTACCAGCATCAAAACACTCTTGACTGGAATTTATCTATCTTCGATATCTCCATCATAGTCGGGATGGGTATTAGGTCGTCTCTGGACCCACAGGGCAACTAAGTATATCTCAGCCGATCTCTTCTAGCGATGCGATCCGATCTTACCACGCGATCTGGCCATTGCGGGCACACACAGACGGCCCTCGTAGGCACGGCTACCCGCTTTGTCTAGTAGATCTTCGCCCCCCGTCCAGGGGTAGGTGGTTTAGAAGTATTGGTTGTGCGTGAATAACACTCGTCCTGGCGGTCTCAGGTTCAAGGGCAAAGACGTCAGTTGTTTCTTGCGGGAACCCCCGCATCGCTACTTATATTGCCTCCTGAAAGCCCTGCTCTGGAATGTTCTCTTGCGTCGTGCTATCGTCATCCTCCCCAAAATACCATGCATATTCCTCGGGCTGCATACTTCTTAGTATGCGCCACCGTGGCGTTTGCTAAGACTGTTAGCTACGACTTTACCGTCGGCTATGTGACGGTAAGTAACTCTTTAGTTCCCAGGATTGGCGAGATGGCGTCGTGTCTCTTCCAGGCCTACACAGCTTTACGTATACTGATAGGCTACAGGCCGCCCCTGATGGCTTCTCCAGACAAGTCATAGGGATTAATGGTAAATGGCCCATTCCCACTATTGAGTGTGATGTAGGCGACACCTTGGTCATCACTGTGCACAACGGACTTCCGGATCAAACTACATCTCTTCATTTCCATGGCATCTGGCAGACTGGCACACAACTATCCGATGGACCTAGTGGCATTACACAATGTCCTATTCAACCTGGACAATCATATACCTACACATTCGTCGCGAACCCCGCTGGCACACATTGGTACCATGCGCATGAAAAGGGTCAATACCCAGATGGTCTCCGAGGAAAAATGATTGTACACGACAGGGCCTGGGAGAAGACGTTGGGAATCGATAAGCAGATCTTCTTGTCAATGTCTGATTGGTGAGTACCTCAAACCCCGTACAAACGACATGGCTTACATATGGCAGGTTTCATCGCTCCATGCCCGAGTTGATTAATGACTACATGAGTCCCGATAATGCCGACGCCAGGTTTGACTCGCCAAACGCTTTCCTCTTCAACGACTCTAACAAGCCTTTTGACCTCAAACTGGCCAAGGGCAAGAAATATCTGCTCCGTATCGTCAACACTGCGGCAGTTGCGTGTGGCCAGTTCCATGTCGACAACTACACGCTTTCTGTCGTTGAGGTTGATGGTGTCCAGGTACAGCCCCAGGAAACTGATAGAATCTTGATCTGTGCTGGCCAGAGTTACGGTGTAGTAGTCAAGGGCCAAGACGATCCAAAAGGCGCGTCCAACTGGCACGCGTCCATGGACACAGACATGCTTCCTGGCGCTGCTCCTCCAAAGGACGACATATCCGTTATTGGAAGAATCGTCTACGACGTGATGCAAGAGGTCGAAGCGATCGAAAGAGAATTACCCAACATCGCTCGCGCCGAACCCCGCATCCTCGATGATTTCTACATAAAGCCGCTGGATGGCCAGAAGCTTCTGGGACCGGTGAACAACCGGATCGACTTCACAACAAACCAGACCTACTTCCCTGGAATCGGAACGCGGACACCTCTTAACGCTGACCCTTGGGTCGCACCCAAAGTCCCTACACTCTACACCGCCCTGACAACCGGCAGCATGGACCCAGCAACCTACGGCCCTGGCGTCAACCCCTGGATCATCCAATCCGGAGAAATCGTCCAGATCCACATGAACAACCCCCACGGCCGCCCCCACCCCATGCACCTCCACGGCCACGTCTTCCAAGTCGTCGCCAAAGGCCCCGGCCTATGGAACGGCCAAGAAACAAACTTCCCCGACGTCCCCTCCAAGCGTGACGGCCTCGTCGTCCCAGCAAACGGCCACGCCGTTATTCGCTTCAAAGCTGATAACCCCGGCGTGTGGTTCTTCCACTGCCACGTCGATTTCCACGCCGTCGGCGGCATGGCTGCTACTATTATCGAGTCGCCGAATCTACTCCAGGGCTCCGTTCCCGAGGCAGGCAAGGCGCTTTGCGATGCTGGTGGTATGCCCTCGAGCGGTAATTGTGCGGGTGAGTCGTTTAGGATTACGGCGGCGGAGGCGCGCGAGAAGTGTAATACCGTGTTTAACACAAAGGTCCGCGGCGCGAAGCTCGGATAGTGTAAAGTTAGCAGTGTTGGGTATCTGGTATGCCTCTTGCCCTTTTTTACGCATTTTTTTTGGCCAATTTCTATTTTCAATTGTTCATAGAAAATATGTATTTCTGATCCTTTCTTCTTCTTCTTCTTCTTTTTTTTTCAGGAATCATTTAGTTCGCTTCTAGATAAAGGGAAACGAAGAACGGTATTATTAATAGAATATTTTTTTTTGGCCATGGCACCAATAACCGCCTTCATTGTATCCCCTTCGCTCAGCACATCATGAATGATCAGAATGCTCTTTCCCACACCCACATCCCCCTTCCTTCTTCTTCTTCACCAACCCTACCCGCCTCCCCCAAGCCCACGACTTCTCGGGCTCCCTCGCCATCCTCCTCGTCGCCGCCACATCTCTATCCGCCCACCCCTTATCCAGCAGCGTAACCTCCAAACTCTTCCGCGCATACCTCACCGTCTCCCACTTTTGTCCAAAACTCGCATACACCTCGGCCGCATGCTGGTACGCCGTCGCAAGCCCCGCATGCAACCGCTCCTGCTCAACCAAACTCACTAGCAACTCTGCCAGCGCGGGCGTCGCAGTCGATGCGTTGGTCCAGTCATTAAGTAGTTTCTGTGTCTCTTCGATCTGGAGGATTCGCGCGTCCGACTCGGCGGTTACGAGCGGGTGCGCACTACACGCCGAGCAGGCACACGTAAAGCCCCAATTCGTGCGTAGCCGCCCCATGCGGCGCACGCGGGTAACTTCGTTGTTAATATACGTTATGGTGATTTCCTCGCCTGGGTAGATGGGCCGGATAGCATGGACGTAGTGCGTCATTGTATCTTCGTCAAAGAAGTAGGCAGCGTTTGGTCTGCAGTCGTGATTCATCATTGCAATTTCTGGGAAGAGACCGGAGAGGGTTTCCCCGGAGAGGGTGAGCTCAAAGTAGTTTGTGGTCATACGGTCGTCGATGGGGTCGTCTTCGCCTGGTGCGGAGCGCCCCATTAGGGTCCAGAAGAGTGTGTGGCTGGAGGGCGGCAGGGAATCGACGGCGCGGTAGAGCAGCGCGAGACGTTCGGGCTCGGGGAGCTCGTCAAGGTCGACGTCGGTGATTATGATGGGGGTTGAGGCGAGGATTTGGTCGCCGCGGTTGAGCGTTTTGTTGGCGACGAGCCCGCGGCCTTTGCCGGGGAACTCGTGTTGGTAGAAGGGTGGGTTTTCATAGTTGTTGCTGCGTATGAGAGAGGCAGGGTCGGTGAAGGCGTGGTTTTTTAGTATCGAGTAGGCGTTGGCTTTGGTGGTGACGATTGAGATTCCTCGTCCGGATGCGAAGGTGGTGTTGGTAAAGACGCAAAAGGGGTTTGGGTCAGCGTCTTCTTCGTCTTTTGGAGTAAAGCATTCGGGCCAGTAGGACCAGGGGAAGTTTTCGGTTTGCGAGGCTAATTTTTGCGCGTCTTCCAGCGAATTTGTGAATGGCGCAATTTGTGTAGTGTTTGATTCGAAAGTCGGCGCCGGTGTGGACAAGGTAACCTGCGCTGAGGGCCGGCATTCTTCGTTGTGAAGGATAAAGTTTGCAGGGCAGACATTGTGTAGGAGAGGCTGTTGCGCAACAAATCCGATATGTGCATTAGAGGATGCTAGGGCACCGCCCAGGGCGCTCAATCCAATGATTGATTTCATTTTTGCAGGCTTCAAACAATTTTGAGAAAGAATTAAAATAGTAAAGAAAATATGGAAAGACAAGACGCATCATAAATAGTCTTGACCTGACTATATCAGAGGGGGATCTTTAGCCGAAGCGATTGAAACGCAAAACGATTGCGGACGAGGAGATGAAACCAAATCGTGAGACGGTCCGCCACTTCCCCACACCACGAACCTAAATTGTGAGGCTCTATCGCTCCATCACTGTGACGTTTTGGGTGTGAAGACCATGGGTGGTTTTCGTGTGGTTCCGTGGATGTGAAGATCTCCAAGTACGCAACGTCAGTCCTGTCAACACTTTGGACGGCAGTTTTCTTTGGTCAACTATCCAGCTATGACAATGCTCAGAGACATTCTCCCTGAATTTTCACATACACTTATGCATACGAGACAAAGGTGATGGCCGTTGATTGGAAAAAGCTGGAGTAAGGAGGGGTTGCGGGGTGGGGCCGTGAGGCTGAAACACATGTGTGATTGCCCCTGAGAAAGACACGCTTTGTTCCGCATCACAGACACGCTCATGTGCAGGAAGCAACACACTCTGTTTTCATTCCCAATAGCTTTTGTCATTCATCCAGTATAGGATGAGATGACTAACTGTACTTTGCCAAAAAGATTGCACGCCTGAATGGACAGTAATAGCGCGTTAGTATTCCATCGCCTCTTCAAACAGACCCCGCAATTGCTCCCTCTCCGCATCCACATTCTGGGTCTCCAGAGTTGGCGCCAACATCAATACTCTTGCCTGGGGAATTGTGCCTTCGACCAGCTGATCCAAATGCTCTGAACCAAAACCAAGTGCCTTCAATCCTCGGGGTTGGTCGCCGAGCTTAATCAAGAACTCTGCCAATGCTTCACTCAATACCTCTCCAGCACTCTCTGCCTTGACATTTGAAATGTCTACGCCAAAGGCTTCGGCTGCGGCCAAGTGGCGCTCTGGGTTCGATGCGGCGGTAAACTTGAATACTGCCGGTGCTGTTACTGCGACACTAACTCCGTGCGGAATGATGGTGTGGTCAACCTCGTAGCCAGCGTGCTTGTACCCTGGGTTCTGGCCTGAAATAGGGTATGACATCCCGTGGCAGAGATGAACACCTGCATTACCGAAACCAACACCAGCAAGGGTTGCAGCTAAGAGCATTTGTGACTGGGCCTCATGGTCTTCGGGGTCTTTGACGGCACGGGGCAGATATTTGACAGTATCTCTCAGAGCCTTGAGAGAAAATATGTCGGAAATGGGATTCGCGCCTTGGTATGCGGGTCGGTTGATGGGGTTGGTAGGTCGGGGAGTGCGCTCGTAGTATGGTATCGCGGTCCAGGATTCCAGAGAGTGACAGAGGACATCAAGACCCGAAGACGCATGGACAGCTGAGGGCATGGTGCGTGTGTTTATCGGATCTACTATTCCAAGAGTGGGCTTCAGGTTGCGATGTGCGATGCCAGTCTTTGCCCGCTTGGAGACCAGGTCGAAGATTGCGGTACCAGTAGTCTCAGAACCAGTTCCTGCAGTTGTAGGGACTGCGATGAGGGGGAAGAGCTTTGAAGGAATAGGTAATCCCTTGCCCAATGGTGCGTTGACAAAGTCCAAGAAGTCTGCTTCGGGAAAGGTGGTGTAGAGATTCATCAGCTTGGCAGTGTCGATCACACTACCTCCACCAACAGCGAGGAAGGCGTCCGGCCTCCATGGCTTCGCAAAATCAATGGCCTCCCTTATGCTGTGATCCTTTGGTTCCACTCTGACCTTGTCGAAGATTTCATATGTTACTCCTTCGCGTTCAAGTCCTTCGACGACCTGCTTCATCGCATCCAGCTTTCTTACAGTTTGGTCCGTGACGACCATGACGCGCTTGCTGCCCATGTTCTTAAAGTCCATACCGACTTCCTTTGTACATCCTGGCCCAAAGCGGATGCTAGATGCTGCCATCTCAAATGCATATTCCTTTTGTTGCGAATGATCTAGCGGTGTGGCGAGATGTCGGCGTGCTTGCTGGACAGTAGACGGCGATTGATGGTAATTGGGGTTCGAATGGCAAGGGCATGATGGGGGATGCGTGTATTGTACGGTTCGAAGGAGATTGAGAGCCCTTACTGCACGCGAAGGAGCAATGCGGATCGCCGGTGACATTGGCATTGTCAGGAACAAGAGTAGTAACGCTGATCGAGTGTGGGGAAATGCGGGGAGGTGGAGGTGGTGCGAATGGAAGTGCGCACGCGACAATTGCTCAGAGCAACAATTGGGACAGCGCAAGGTCGTTGGGGAAGCCGCTTTTAATTCCTCTACTATCGGAGAAAAGGAAATATAGGAATGAAGACGTTGAGTAATGCTATGCTCGCAGTTGCAATGTTGCATCTGCACCTCGGCTGGCCGGTGTTCTGACCAGGCTTGATGCGGTAACCCGGAATGTGGGGTAATCCGGTTCAATTGACACCGGATATTATAATAGCTGCTGTGCCTCATTCCTGCATCATGGACCCCCTACCCGCGTCTATGGCGCCGATGCTACCGCTATAGTGGATACATCGTACCGGATATCCAAGGCTTTGACCCGACGTCAAACGTCTTGTCAACAAACTTTGAAGAAGAGCCTTGGTTTTATCCTCGACTTACACCACGAGTACTACTAGACATGCGTGAACGAAGTATCACTCCAGATACCAACAACTGTCTGGAAATTCCCCGGCTCTTCTGAGAGGCTGAAAACAAACGATATTCGAAGTACAGAGAACTGCTAGTTTCTAATGAAATTGTTGAAGGCGCCGATTACTTGCACTAGCAACTAACTCTTCCCGACAAAAACAGAAGGGTTAGAGGATTAAATTCCGAACGTGTGCTTACAGCAACCTACTTACCTTGCGACCATCTTTCAACGCTGAGATATGTCTTTCAGTCCCTGAGATTCGGAGCCGCATATTAAGGTGGCCATTGAGATACTATCAGCTATGGGAAGGTCCGCTAATCTGAAAGGGCGTTTTCCAGTGTCGTGGTATAGGAAATAAGCAAGCCCCAAATACCAATATCGCGGACACCCTAGAACTGCATGGGTTCCCTATTGGCCCCCAAGATGCGGCCGGTTTGTGACCCGAACTGCGCAGTTGGCGTGTGATCACAATGTCTATCGGTCTGCACTCCTGTACGTTGCGAAAACGCCTGGGCGCCTAAGGCTTGCAACAACCTACCAATCATGGTGTGCTGTGGAAACGGGTCATCTCCGTTTTCGCACCCTCGAGTGCCCCGGACTGCTGCGCATGCGCAGAGTCGCGAACGAAGCACGTCCACTGTGTCAACGAAGCTGTTCGGACGATTCGGATGAGTGGTGCGCCATGGCACACTGAGTAGGAGTTGTACTCTATACTGGAGGCTCTTCTTGCTCAAGTTGGCTTTACGACAACACGGCTGGAATACCACAGCCTTGAAATCAGCATGCAACAGGGCTTTCGTTTGCGTATCACCGTCACGAGCGCAAGGTAGTGACAAATCCACCATGCGTATAGCGCGCGGCATGTGCCGGGATGTTCAATGTTGTCGGGAAAGATTGGAACCAGGGCTACCAACAATAGGTGAACATCAATCCTAGGAGGTTGGGCCGATGTGCGCTAAAAGACACAAGGCGACCAGCCGGTCATCAGGACAGGGCGGTTAATCGTGCCCGTCCACTGGGCAATCAAGCTACAATCTGGGCTATACTGATCTAGCACAGACCTCCGGACGGGAGCAGTTCGCTTGCATCCATACTTCTTGTAGCCATTTCTGGCTTACCCTCAAAACTCACACTAGCCATTCACTCCCCACCTGAGTGCCCACATCTGCAGGTTGCAGCAACGATACAATGTGGTCCATGCTTGATGTAGTTTCACGATGACAGCCAATTGCTGTGCCACTGTGCGCCAGGCGCAGCGGCATGGCTGAACAGACCTAGCATTAGCATTCATCTCTATCATGGCGCATTCAACGAGACACGGCATGTGCAATGCTCCTGACCCCACGGGGCGCCGATCCCAACCTTGCGAACAAATCATGCCCCAGCCGTGCTTACGGAAAAGATATGATACGTCTTGTCCCCTTCTTGTTAGGCTCATCATGTCTTTCATTTCCTTTTCTTGCAGTCTTTCCTTGTGTGGTATGATATCCGGGTTTCGTTCGTGAGGTGTCGCCGAAGTAGTCCCCTTACACTCCTCAGCAATGACCGTTCAGCTTCGTATCAGCAGTTCAAAGGAACAACGACCTACCATCTACAGAGGCAATACACGGCGTCTGCTACGTCTCAGCGATGTACCAGACTCACCCACATCATCTGGAGCTGTTTGTGAGGCTGTCAAGTCGGATGGGCAAGCGTGCTGGGTCGCGCTCAAAGAGAGCGCGGGCGATATTTGGTGCTATCAACACCATGACGAGTGGAGGCAGTTGAACATACATTGGGCCAAGATCCATACGGATGTGGAAAGAATGACAGTGACAGGATTGGATGCTGGGAAACAAAAAATCCTAAAGCTGCGCCAGTCTGTGGATCTCAGACGAGAAATTCAGGAGCGATTCTACCCCCGCGGTGGTGATATCCAGGACTACATCGAGTGGATCAACAAAATGGAAAATGACGTGAGACAACTAGCAGACTCTTTGTTGAGTAAGTCGCAATTATCCAAATGTACAAAAATGTCCACTAACACACGACAGTGGCAAATCTCAACCGCCGCCCAACCCCAGAGACCCCAGGTATCCATACCCCTTCGCCTCATCCAAACAGCAAAAGGCAGGGAGAGAAGATGAAGATTATGATTCTACGCTCGCCACTAGATCCCCGGATACCTATCAATTCGCTAGACGGCTTACCTGACGATGGGACTATTCTTGTGTTAAAGCACTTTTATCAAGACCTCTGCGCCGATAGCATTCGTCGGCTGTACGCTATCGTTCCTGATTTAGACGACTCAAAAAACTACCCCAACTCACCTGGGACGGAGGATGACATTGTACTCGACGCTGGTACGGAGATAATCCGGGCTTGGTTCCGCATCATGGTCTTGAACGACAGCGAAGCTGGAACCCTGGAGCATGCGACAAGGTCCAAGAGCATCAATGAGTTTCTCATGGGCTGCCAAGCTAGCCAACTTGAGATGTACTGTGATTTCTTCGAAAAGGCATGGCGTCCACACGCGGTTCAGTATCTTCGTGTAGCGATTTGTGCGCAAACACTGGCTGGAGGTGACATCAAGACAATCCGGCTGCTCGGTGGCACAATACCAAGTACTACTGAGGGTCTGAGAATGACCAAGCCTTGTTGGGACATTCTGTAAGTTTCGTGCAAGTTCAAACGGATCTTGCTGACCGATCTGAAGCTACCGGTGGTTCCCTACGTTGCTCACTCCATGGACCATCGCTAGCATATGCTCCAACTTTGAGGATTACACCACCATATGCAAGCTCCTGATGCTGAAGTTGTATGATGACTATTGGTATGACCCAAATAGCATATTGGGCGAATGCGCAACTGGCGTGTACATGGGTTTCATACCTATGAACAAGGGAGACTTCACATCAAGTACGGGGCTGCAGCAAGAAGACAACGTCTGGGTTCAACGACAATCGCGCAACTATCTTTGTGGGCAAATGGCGATAGGACATCCTATGACTAAGGCTTTCCTGGATGAACTTCGCAAACGAACTGCCTCTTTGTATCTTGTTGTATATGAAGGCACACATGCCGATGCAACTGTTCACCCGACTGAGCCGGATCTGTTTATTAGCCGACATCGCACAGCCGCCAACTTGGATGAGCTGGACACGGCCGACTTTACCACAACTCTTACGCTTGAAGACATCAAGAATGAGCTGCGCATGCGGAAGAACTCCATGTATGACCCTATCGTGGTCGACTCTTGGCAGTTCATCATCATCGATCGGGAAGTTGGATTACCATTTCGATTAATAGACATCGTGCAGGACACGCTGTTGATGCTCGTCAGGGATCCTTCACCTCGGCAGATGGCCAAGCGCGTCATCCGTGAGGTGATCCCGCCCTCAGTTCAGGAAATATACCTGGAAAAGATGCAGATAGAGTGCTCTTCGGAGTTGCGCTATCCGCCACCCGGTGAAATCCAGCATGAAGGAAACAGATGGCGAACATTTGACCCAGACCCCAGCATAATCGCTGCGAAACAAAAGAAAACGGCATTGCAGAACATTTCGCGCGACGACAATCGCTTCATCCGACGCTTCGTGGAAGACCTAGAACGCTACGGCATCGTCAGTCTCGTTACTGAATACGAAGAACCACAAACTAGACCCATCATCGTACAAGGCGCAGACGGCGCACCAGACTTGTATTTTCCATACCAGGAAGACGTCACAAAGGTCGAAGGCGAGCGCGCACCAGCACTCCATCTCCCACCGCGAACATGTCTCTCAGACTTTGCGCAAGCATACCGAAAAAAGCACCCAAATGCCATCATGGCAAAAGGCTCCATCCAAACACACTACTGCGCCTGGCCCATGCCCGCGATCAAGAGTCTGGGTAAAACCGGACTCAACTTTGCTACATGGGAAGGCCATGTCTATCGCTGGAACGCCATGCGTAAGTCTCTCTTCTATGTCTCCTTACGACCCGCATCTACTTATATTTCAACAGCATTCGACCGCCCTTCATCCGCAAACGCCTGGCAGTATTACATCCAGCACTTCCTCAACTCCAAATATCCCTTCGTCATGTTCTACCTCACCACTTTTGTCATTTGCGCAACGGACCAGGATGATGCTGCGCGCAAGATGGTTATGCTTCTGGATGAGATGGAGGATAGGGGGTGGCGGGTTACGCTGCCGAGACCGCATGAGTGGACGGGGGATGTCGAGGGGCTTAGGTTGGATACTTTGTTCAATGGGATTAAGCCGGCGTAGGGGTAGATGGGATAAGCATGGGATTGAGGTTTTGTCTGGATTTTCTGAGGCTTTGTATCAAGAGCAGGGATCTGTGTTTTTTGTTACGAAGCGATTCAAGTCGGCGCTCGCAAGCGTGTATAACTGGCGGCATTTTCTGGGTTTTATGCTTAGAGTATTTAGCGATGTTGCATACCCTTTTCTATCGTCCTTTGTATTCAATTTCAATATTGTTTTTCCAGATATTCTCCTCATCACGACTT